CATTTTGTCAAAGTAATGTTGAAAAAGTAGAGAAGCCCCTATCTATTGGCTAAAAAGACTTGTTCTTAATATGGTAACATGATTCCATTCAGTTTAAGCTGGATGATTGACCTTTTATTTCCTTAAGATGCCATTTACAAGGCCAAAATGACGACAATCAGAAATGGTACTATGACCAAGAGAGTCCAATGCAGTTGAGTCCCATTTTTTAATCATGAGTTTGATTACAGACTGAATTGGATGTCGACACAAAGTCCTGTTACCAACTAATCAAAACTATGATAAAATTTGAGAAAGAAACTGGACATTGGTTGTACGTTTTCATTATAAAAACAACAGTACACTTGCAAAATACCCAACAGCAGTAAATGCCAATAATGCAATTTGCCCATTTACACAGACATGACATGTTAAGTGTCCCTTAAAATGTCCTATAACAAGCATGATGCATACACTGCACTATAAGTGGTCATACAAGACTCCTGATAACCAATCACATTCAAGAATTTCACTAAGTTTTGATTTAGGAACTTGTGAGAAATAGCTAATCAGAGATCACAATACAAATTTTCATGTAAAAATTTAAGCCAGAACTGGGTGAGATGAGCATAAAAAAGTAGAATGTACAGTCTGTACATAGTTAATGGTCTGTATTAGGTGTTCCTAGAAGAAAGCCAAACCTCACTTTATCCCAATGTTGAACATAAAGATTGTCAAAACATAAATTCTTCACTGGTTAAGACTTTTTCCAGGAAAAAGGAAAACAAACTATGAAAACCGTTGAAGAAGACAAATTATTAATTTTCCTTTTCACCCAACATTTCTTGGAACATGGGGGTAGATAAGGAAAAATGTTTAAAGCATGCCTTTCCATTTTAAAGGAATGTCCAATCCATGAAAAACATTTATCTTTGTAAGCCAGCAAGAATGACCAGAAGGTGTTGCTGATCATGAAATTAGAGACTTTGCAAAAGATACACATTGGACTATTACAAAAAGAGTAATCATGTGAGTTAAACTATTTCTCACAAGTGTATACAATTGATTCCAAAAACACTGACTTCTAAAAAGCACAAGCAGTGAACAATGACACCCAAGGCTTTATTGTTACACAGGAAAACAATAACCACAATTAGTTGTACGTGGTATATAGCAGCCATCCACACTTTCCTGAAAGGAAAATATTGTGGTCATCAAAGATTTCCATGAACAATGAAATAAATAATGCATTAATCTTGTAACCATGCAAAGATTTNATGCTCGCCAAAATCGCTCGAAAACAACACTTAAATACTTTCCCTCGAATCAAAACTCGGCAGCACGAAAGCCAAATAGTTTCTCTGTAAGTTCACCGAAAAGAATCCTACAAAAGTCGGTTTGTCGAGCAACCAATCCAGCGAGAATTTCAAATTAACGGCCGTTCTGAATTCTTCTAATGCGTGGAAGGAACTTCTTGTGCAGCTGAGAGACCGCTATTGCGCGGTCAACCTGGACCCTAGTCAAATCTCTCTCAACGGATCCTCCCTATAGTCTTCTAACACCAACTCTTCACACATACTAAGGTACCCCGGGTAAACTCATCGACTTGACTAGATCGTCGATACTGTCCATCTTCACCGTTTTAAATGGATTTTTACAAAAATCCTCCGTTAAAATTCTTAAATATTTCGCGACAATAATAGGACTCGGCCGACCAGTCCCAAAACGAAGACAATTTTGCGACCCTTGGGCTAGAGTTCTCAAGTGAGGCAGAAAAAGAGTTGATCTATCGAGCGATCGATCGGCCGCAGCAATGGTTTTCGGCATGGGTAAATTTGTATTATTAAACCTCTGACTTTTTTGTCCTCTACTTGTATGCAGTCGAAGCTCTCTTAAGCGGACACCATCGAGGAGCGAAAAAAGTGGCCGTAAAAAGTGTCCGCTCACAAGAATGGGAAAATACAGAGTTTGTATGAGAGTTTAATAAAACGGGGTTTTGACTAGGTGGCCGTTAGTAGAGCCTTCCGCTTACGGGAGTGTCCGTTATTATTTATTCAGCCAGGCGACATTTCGAACTTCAAACCTCATTCATACCCCTCAAATCAGAATGCACTCAATTAAATACTGGCAGCCAAGAAAGAGTTTGAATTCATAAAATGTTCTATGCATTGTGACGAATCCGCGCCACAAAGGTGGGCGCTCTCTAACACAGACGAAACACCTAGCACAAACGAATCCGAGAAGACACGCCACAACACAACTAAACGTAGGCCTACAAATATTTATTATCCTAATTAAAACAGTAAAGTAAGCAACAATAACGACAACACAATGAACTGAATTATTTATCCTAATTTATTTACAGAAATGTGATAATTTAAACTCCAGGCCCCGGTTGTTCAAAGGATGGATAAATTTATCCACCGGATAAGCTTATCCGGTGGATAAAAAGGCTATCCACTGGATAGTTATCCGGCGGATAAAAAGTTGTTGCAGAAAGCACGGATAGCGAGACGTTTAACTATCCGATGGATAATTCGGTATCCAAGCAGTTGCTATGGTTACAGCCCAGGCGTTGCGTGATCTGTTCGCTCGCGCGTGCTAGTGGCGAGACAACATGGCAGAAAATGTTGCTCCTTCTCCGGCAAAGCGCGCTAGAAAACCCAATTTTACACCCGCCGAATGCGCAGTTATTTTGGAAGAGGCGGAAGAAAATATAAACATTATCAAAAGTAAATTTTCCTCGACACTTTGTAATAAAAACAAAACGCGAATATGGGAGGAAATAACCGAGAAAGTCAATGCCCTTGGAGTTTCCAAAAGAACTGTTGTGGAGGTAAAAGAAAAGTGGAGAGGAATGGTGAGTGGAGCAAAAAGAGAGCACAACAAATGTACCACGGCAGTAAAGAAGACCGGGGGTGGAAAGAAACCGGCTTCTCCAAAGGCTACCACAGCCAAAATTATCGAGCTCTTCGAAACGGATCCGTCTTTCAGCGGCATTTTGGGCGGTATCGACTCAGGTAAGCCACTAATGTTTACAAGTTTGTTGACTTACGATGATACTTACCACAGAGTGCTGATTGTTTCTGCCGTTCTTTGTTTAAACATGACGCAGGGTAGCAGGTGATTTTTCTTCTTTTGGAAAGTTCACAATCCCTGTAATTCGTCTACGTTTCTAAAATTCAGCGGACCCTTGTTGAATTGAATCGATCGAGAAAAGCTAAGCTGCTCTTGTATCGTGGCCGAAAAGTACTTCTAGACTTAAACGTTTCACACATTGGGTGAAGTTTCTATGCCTTGAAACAGATCGCCGTAT